CCGAGCCCTCACGAGTTCGACCTCAAATACTGGGGGCCATCACCCTCGGATTAAGATCTGTAGCAAGGGAAAAGGGAACTTTTATGTGCTAAAAGCTAAGGCTTGGTGGTTAGGATTCTTTGTAAGGGCCAAACGGTCGTATGAATAGTGCCCACATAGTCCACTCTAGCCATGGCACAAGTTTCCATATGCCTTCTATCATGTACCTTGCATACTAAGTAATGAAAGAAATCTTTACGTCCCTTACACTTTGTTACTACGCATTTTTTTTTATCTCGGATTCTAAAGCCCACGGGCTTCCCCCACTCGGGGAATGACGCCGATGAAAATTCGGATGACTCGGGCTACCGAATCCCCGAGGTACCAAAACCATTAGGCGGTGCCCAAATAAAAAAGGCTAAGGCCACCCTAAAAATGGTCGCAGACGTCCGAAGTCCGTAACCAGAAAGTAAGGCCCTTACAAAAATTCAAAACCTACTAAATGGTTACTCTCGGCAAAAACATCGTCTAAAAACACTCAAGCATCTTAAAAACCTTCGGTCTCACCGAGGGTTCGAAGCCACAAGTAAACCAAAGTGGCATCGAAGTCTGATTTTATGCTAAGGCATCAAAAACAATAAGCAAATAGAAATTGCAAGAAGATGCTAAAAAGTAAAGACACGGTATTGCCAGAAAGGGAAAAATTTTATATACTCCAAAATATATTTACAAAGGCTCGATAGAACGGCCTCAAAATAAACAAAACAAACACAAGGAAAAATTGAAAAAATACTAAGGCATCTACGCCTAGTTTTCACTGGGGCCCGACTCGTCGCCAGAACCGCCGGAGACCTCGGAACCCTCGGAGCCTTTGGGACCCTCGGGCTCGTAGAGCTCCTTTACCTCGGCCTCGAGTCTCTTAGCTTCTTCAATCTCAGCCGAGAGGTCAAAGCCTCGGGCATGGATCTCTTCGAGGGTCTCTTTCCGGGATAGCCACTTTATGTACTCAGTCTTCGTCTTTAAGCGGGTCTCGGCTGCCTCCACATTGGCCTTATACTGGACCACCATTTCCTCAGCATCAGCAGAGGTCGCATCCAATTTGGACCTCAGTGCATCATATTCTTGCCCAAGGGCATCCCATTCCATGATGGCTGAGTTCAGTGGTGCCCAGAGATTATCATTCAGCTGAGACCACTTATCGACTTTGTCCTTCGCCACCCGGAGTTGGTTCTCGACCGATGCCAGTTTCGCCTTCGCAGCTTCCTTCTCCGAAGCCAGTAGGTCCATCCTACCCTTCCACACTTCAGTCGTGGCCTTGACCTCGTCCATCTCGGCCCGCAGCTGGTCGATTCGATATTTCTTATGTTGGACCTTCGAAGTTGTGTTGTTAGTCACCACGACTAGCTGCTCATTTTTACCCTCAAAGACCTTTACCTTCTTAACCAGGTCAGCATGTTCCCGCTTCAGGGTCGAGGCCTCCTTCTAAAATTTTTCCAACTTAGCCTGGAGAATCGGGAGGTCTTTAAGGGCCTCGTCCTGCTACTCACTAAGAGCTCTATACATGTCCTTCTTCTAGACATGCTCTTAGAGCTCAAACTTGAGCTAGCTAATCTCCAAGCGGTACCGGAGGAAGCTTTTATAGTGAAGCACTGAAGCTTGAAAAATAATGAAGTTAGCAGAAGACATCAAAAACCTAAGCGAGATTCACAAAGGGATACAAAGGGGTTGAATCCTTACCCGGTTCAGCGCCTGCTGCGCCTCGTTGAATAAGCTCGACGTGCCCACCTCGTTCATCTTTGCCTGGTCCTCCTCGGTCACCAGGCATCGGAGGTAGCTGGCTATGCCCACTAGAGCGTATAGGACCCAGGCATCCTTCGACATTGAAAGAACGACCGTTCTCTTATGCTCCGGGTCCACGCTCGGAGCAGGAAATTGCTTCACTAATTTGGGCTCGAACTCGGCCCGCCAGCTCCCGAGGGCACATCCTTTTTCGGGACCACAAGGTGACCAAGCCTGGAAAAATCCTCCAGTGTGGCCATATCCATGCCATCGAAAAATGTGTTGAGGGCATCGTCTGGGCCTTACGCTCCCTCACTTCACTTCTCTTTGCCTGCTTTGGCCACTTCGGGCATAGACTCGGTATAAGAGGGCATCTTTACGAGGTCAATAATACAGGTTGCTTCCTTCAGAGCAGGGGCGGCTTCCTGGGAGGCCACAACCTCTGTCTCAATCTCTGGTTCCCGGGTTAGAGGGGGATCGACCTCATGATCCTTTTTCTCTGTCCTCGCCTGCCTCCCCTCATTAAGTGTCGACCCATGAGCGACGAAAAGGTCATCATCTTTGGGCTCGTCCCTGAACCAGTAGAGAGAATTGGGATCTCATACCCTGGACTTGGTGCTCTTCTTGGGCCTCCGGACCTGGATGGCCACCATTTTCTTCTTCTTTGCCTCGGCGTCCGGGGAACCCAGGGACTTTCTCTTCTTCTTCTCCTCCTTCGAGGCAACCCCGGGCTGCCCCGAAATGGAGGACTCGGCAAGCGAGGATAGATCCTCATCCTCATCCAACGATCTAAGTTCGGTGGTCTTAGGCAAACCTGTAAGAAAAGAGAAAAGGTTAGCAATACGTAAGTTAAGAGCATGGTGATAATTATTCGAGGAAGAACCTCACCATGAGAACGAGCCTCCCATTTGGCCTTCGAAAGCTTGCGCCATGTGCTCTCGGAGTACGGTATCTGCTTGCAGATCCCCTCGATCCACTCCTTGAATTAGGGGATTGCATCAGGAACTTGGGCAACAGCTGCACGACCACAAGCACAGGCAATGAGAGAAAGAATAAGAAAAGAAAGGAATACTCAAAAAAGACAATACTTACGAGTTACGGGATACATTCCACTCCTCGGGGAATGGCAGGAACTCGGGAGGGATCAGGTCTTCGGTTTTCACCCAAACAAACCTCCCCTGCCAACCTCGATCTCGATCCTCGTCGATGCTCGAGAAAGGAGCCTTGCTTGCTCGGCGAACGAGCTTGATCAGTCCCCCTCGGAAGATTCGGGAACTGTATAGGTAAAGTAGATGGTTGAGGGTGAACCGAGGGGCTTCGGTGTTGTTCACGAAATGGTGTAAGAGGATCACGATCCGCCAGAAGGACGGGTGGATGTGCCCAAGGCACACCTCCTACCTTTTGCATAAAGCAAGGACTATGGGGTCCATAGCGGCAAGCGTAAAGGGGTAAGTGTAAACACTCAGATACCCCTTCACGTGAGTAGTGATATCGTCATTGGGCCCGGGAACAACTACGTCCTTACCCTCCCATTTACAGTCCGCTCGAACTATGGGTAGGGTCTCTTCAGTGACGGAGCATATGTATCTCCATGCTCCCTCGCCTCGGTCTTGTTGGCTAGAGGCCTTCTCAACCTTGAAATCGTCCCCGATAGAGCAGACCCCGGGTATGAAGCTCTTCATGGGAGACTCCTGAGCCACTTCGGGAACGGCCACCTCGGCATCTGCGGCCGGGTGGGAAGATGAAGGAGCAGCCTACTGAGCCACTAACTTGGAGGTTGTTGCCATTGCAATTTGTGAAATATGAAGGTCTGAAGAAGAGTATGAAGTTTTGAAGAAAATATGAAGATTTGAAGATGGTATAAAGGTATGAAGGTCTGGGTTGAAGGTCCGAATACAATGTACGAGGATGAAGATGAAGATATGAAGGCTCAAAGAACAAGGTATGAAGTTTTGGAGAAGTTGAAAACCGTTTGAAAGTTCGGGGATAAAATCTAGAATCGGAATGTGAAAGAAGTGAAAAAGGTTGAAGTTTTTATAGGGGAAAGACAATCAATGCGCGACGTTTTGCATTCGAAAGCAACCAGTCGGTGACTGGCACGTGTCTGAAGTCAGAACAATGCGACTGATGGGACGTTTTGGTTTACCCGCCATCTCAGTTGTAACGTACGAAGAAAGGACCGGGGTTCATCTATCATTTCGGCAAACGTACTCTCCGGAAAACAAGGGGACTATATGTATACGGGTAAAATCGGGAACAATGCATACTCCGATTTTTCGGTGAAGAAGACGGAAGAAGGGCACGGACGCACGAGGTCGAAATCGAGGCTGGAAGCCTTTCGTATCAAGATCCATGAAAGGTGAACGATGTGTTTATCATCGAGCGTGATAAAGCAACGCTCCCTGGACCCAGAATAGGCTCTAAGACCTCGGGAAATGTAGCAAACGGTTACGCATGACGGATAGAGTGTCGTGATATCCGTACCTAACCGGATATCACAGCGCAGATATCGCTTGATGACAATTACGGATCAGTAATTAACGAGAAAGGAAGATTTTTACCTTTTTTAGACTTGTGCTAGGGATGAAACTCTCCTACTATATAAAGGGGCAGTTTTTCTTTTGTAACTCACATTGCAAGTTTGCAACACACGAATCAAAGCAATACAAATTTATTCTCTGCTTTCCAGCTACTACAAAAGTTCTTATTTAATTGTTCTGTTCTTTGTTCATAACTGGGCTCGAGCCAAGGGTCCAATCGAGGGCAAAATTATTGTTCAACCTAGGTTCGGGCTAGGCCATAACATCATAACTGGTTTGATAGTTCATCTTGTCTTTAATTCATTTATCTAATATTCTTAATTATTTATGTTGAATCAATCCATGTATCCTTAAAACCGCGTACAAATTTAATTGTTATCTGATTTAAGGTATACAACCACATTTATCGAATGAATATTCTAAAAATACATGTTTCTCTAGTAATTTCACTTCTTCTTATTTTTTTGCTTTCTATTCTGAATGAAAAACTTTTTAGGTGGTACAATGCCCGATATGAACGTGTTTAGCAGCCAATTTCTTCTAGGTCATGCAGATGTAATTAATGGTGGAAAATGACACTACAATGTGTAACACGACTAAAAGAACACTTGTAATATGTCATAAACCCATTCTTTCCATATTTATGAATGCACAATATACTCTTCAAGGTAATTATGTCAAAAGCATATGGGGCTTACCGCATCAATTAGTAAAAAGTAAAAACAGTAGATAAAAAATAAAAAATACATGCTGTTAACTGAAACATTCTCTCTCGTTCTACAACCAACTGTACATTCTCATGCAAACAAACCCACACCACTAATGGAAACATGATAAAGATGCTAATGATATCAAACAACAGCTGTTCTGAATTAGCAGTTTAAACTTTTGAAGATAGCACAAGAAACAAAGTTGCCACCACATGCACCATTACTGTTTGTTGATTGAGCAAATTGTTGAACTCATCTCCTCCAACCAGGTTGAAACGCTTTTTCTGCAAACGCAAAAAAAGGTAATCATTGAGGAGTTGATGACACTACTCAACTATGATACCTCAATCTCAAACTTGTTGGAGTCAGTTATATATGTCCTCTATATCCATACAGTTCTATTCAGAAGGTGACGTTATTCAAGTCAATGAAAATTAAAGAGCTCGTAAACATCTGACCTAATGACTACAAGAACCAATTGAAAAGAAAACAAGAAAGAGGACATCAAAAACACAGCAATAAAAGAAATACACATTAATCCATTATACACATGCAAGTGGTTTGATAGTTCTAATTGGCGCCTGAGAGAGAGAGAGAGAGATAGACTTTCATGAACCAGCATAGAGGTGATCACAAAGAAACAATGACGCAGCATCATCCAGTCTTAAAGAATGGATTTTAATCATCAATGATTGAAATAAGTTAATTAAGAAGAAGAAATTTTCCAGATATAGCTTACTTGACCTGACTAAATTCAAGCTTGTAAATTAAATATTGATTTACTTTTTTGATAAGCAACTTTATTTCTGATTTATTTAAACTAAAAAACATTTCAATTAACATATAAGCAATAATGAAGGAACTAATTTGAGGCAGCTTTGCGTCATCAAAAGGAAATTTCAAAACTTTCCATACAACTCAACAAGAAAGTATATTTTCCTATAAAAGGCAAACTTGGAAAGAGAAGTCTGTATTCTTAGTTTCTTACCATCTTTAGAAACTGACATTGATCTGTTGTTCTTGTTTCCACTTTTTCCATTTGCTTGAACAGGCCTTTGCACCCGAGGTGACAATGAGCTGATTTTGCCATTGGTAGAGGATGGTAGAGAATGACGCCGGACAACACCATTTTCAGCTCCATCTTCACTTACCTTAGGAGACCCTTGTGCTTTAAGCTTCGCCTTTGCAGATTGAGTTGATGCCATATAGCTGGGTACACTTGGTGTATTCTGAGAGATATTCTCAGAGTTCTCTTCCTTTGATGGAAGAGATCGCCTCCTCCTAGTTCTCTCTTTACTAGTTTGATCTTCTTTGGAGCTAAGCTCCTCATTAACAATTGGACTGTTCTTGCTCTTACCAACATTTTCCTCTTCTAATTGCTGTTGCTCAACTGTAGGATGATGATCATGCAACACATCATTTGGTTCCTCCCCAGCTACTTGCATAGGAGCTTCAGTCAAAGCTAACTTGTCAATTTCAGAAATTGAATCACTCAGAGCTTCAGTCAAAGCTAAATTGTCAATTTCAGAAATTGAATCACTTGTTTTCTCAGGAGAATTAACCACCAGTACTTCACCAACATTAGAAGCTGAGGATATTGAGGTTTTTGCCTGAGCTTGAGCTGGAATAGGAATCTGTCGTGCCTTATCAGTTTCTGCGTCTGACTTTTCTGGAGGTGTTGCCACAGCTGCAGTAACTCTTCTTAGATTCCGTTTGACCCTCTCAAGTTCATTTTGAGGTTGATCTTGCACTGATTCTATCTTATGAGTCATGGCTTTCCTCATGTTACGCCTGGTTTTTTCAGGTTCAGAAGAACTTACAGTACTAGCATCACCAGTTGCTGCTGAAAGAACCTTCCTGACACTCCGTTTTGATCTTACTACTTCTGTCCCAACAGTCTGTACGCTGGCTTGTTTTTTCTGTGACTTTGTGTCAACAACTTTCTTTGGTTGTGGAAGTGGCTCCCAAAAGCGAGATAGCGACCAGCGTTCAAGCCACTGCCAAACTGAATTAGGTTCACACTCATCATACTGAAGGCTCAAGGGCATGGCGATTGGCACTGCAGCATGAAGCTAAAACAAGAAACAATAGAACTGTCAAATTATATTCATGTCTACAGAAAGAATATTTTACTATTTACTTGTCATCAGTTACTACGTTCATTTGTTATCCTTCACATCCATTTCAGAAGAAATATCATTAGAGCTTAGTGATGTACATCATATGGTATTAGCTTTTGTCATTTGAAGCAACTCCCCTCCTTCCTCCCTCTGCGTGAACACTTCTTCCTTTACCGTAATCCTACTATTCTTTTCAGAATATATTGGTACCTGACAACTCTTAATATACCATGAACAAGAACCTGAACAACCTCTCAACTAGTAAATAACTCTTTTCCAAGGATTAAGGCATCAAAGACCGATTTGATACTACACATATTTAACTTCCTCGGCAAATATAGTATCACAACTTTCTGGTTTCAGCTGACTTGGAAGGCATCAAGGCACTATCAAATTGACCTGAGAAGACTATGACTATCATCACAATAAAGACAAATCCAAAATATTCCAGATCACTAAAGGGCCAAAAGAGGCATCAGTTATACTCATTCAGACAAGGCGAGTTGTAGTAAAAGATGGACATGATGCAGAGGAAGTTAGGATTATTTGGGAACTTGGGCATATGTGCAGAATATCAAATCTCTTTATCCAATAAAACAAAACAAACCTTTTTATAAAATCAACTTTTTTATTTTTATTTTTTTAGATAAGGTAATGGATTTCACATAAGGCATCAAGAAGATGCAAAGGTTACAATGCAGGAAAAGATAAAAAGACAGTGTTACTCTATTACAACTTATTATAAAATCAACTTATTATATATTAAAGAAACAGAAAGTTGAAGATATATCAGATACCAGGTTATTCTAACCTTCTAAGATGGATTCTTTCTGTTTTGTTTCATCTGAGGGAGAAAAGGTCAACAATACCTTGCAAACAAATGCACTAGCTGTTAGCTTTTCTGGCCTAACAGACATGCTTACAACAGTTAAGTCCACCTGCTTAGCATCCTGGTCAAACAGAGAACACACATAATGCAGGGTCAATAGCACAAACATATTATATATCATGTGTAAAACACATGAAAACTATCCAGAAACTTATCAAGGTAAAAGAACAGGAACAGAGGCACATTAGCAGATCTGATACATGTTCATGGTGATCGCTGGCAACAAAGTCAAACTTTGCATTTTGTGCTCCGCTAACTTTATCAAAAGTGACAAAACACCATTTGGGATGGGACCTCATACTTTCAAAGTGAAAACATTGGATGAAGAGGGTATGCTCAATATAAGAAAAGCATGATCTATGTACAAATTTAACTGGTCCCATTTAGAGACTCATTTTATTGATTTGAATTCTTAAGAGGCAGAATACTTGGGGGAAATTGGTAAAGTAGATTAAGATGACGAAAAGGGAAATTAGATGGAGCAAATTGGGATGGAAACTAAGTAAATGCTCAAAAAAGTTCATACATAGTTAAAGAACTTTTAAAGAAAGTAGAAAAGATTACAGAACATAAAAAAATATTTGACCGTGATTGCTTCAATAAGAAATAACTCTGCTTATGTAAGATTCATATTTTTAATAATGCATTCGAAGATGGCAATTGAAGATTCTTCATCAAAAAGAAATAGATGGCAATTGAAGATAATCCCACATCCAATTCTATGTGACACTATTCATTTTGGAACAACTTAGTGATTGACACACTATTAGAAACACAGGCACTGTCAAAAATTCTTTTAAGTTTTAGAAAATATGAAATCATAAATTTATAACTTAAACTATCAAATTCATTTATCCAAGCTTAGACCAGCACTATGATTCTGGGGTCCAACTAATGTTAAATAGAACTTTCTTCTAGCCTACAGGTATAATATGTCAAACTAGCTCCTTAATCTTTGCTCATAAAGATCGAGTCAATCTCATTCTTATAACAATGCTTTCACGAAACAAGACGAGAATAGCGGCGGGAGATGAGCAAGAAAAAGGAGGACATTTTCACAAAAGCATTTAATAAGACATTTATTCCAAGACTTACCTTAAGTTCTCCGTAATTGTACCTCCTAAGGACCTGATGGGCGGGATCTGAAAGTCTAGCCCTTTGACCACGAGCTAATGCCTGAACACTAACAATTGACCGCATGCAGCGTAGAGTAGCAACTGCCTGCCTCCTTACCAAGTGCCCACGAATAAGAGCTTGGAGCCGTATAATGCCTTTAAGTGCTCGAAATGCCTGACGAGCCTGACAAATGTTACAAGTACATAAGTTATGGTCCCCTTCAACAAAAAGAACAATTCAAGGTGGGTTATTTGCTTGTAATTAGAAGAAACTAAAAGCATTGGAGTTTTTTCAGTTTTTAGTAAACCACTTATTCTACTTATAGCAATACTGAACCCTGCAGACAGGCAGGCAAGCAAGATATATAGATTTAGCTTCTAGACTTTATATCGGATTCTATTTGAAATTTGATATACATAAAGAGAAACACCTCTCTTATCCAGAAGTAAAGTAAAGTAAAGTAAAAGAAATAAGAAACACAAATACACCCAATTAGTGCATCTGAAACTTGGATCATCATGAGGATGCATTTACTCAAGTCCCCAATCACTGTTTGGTGAATAAAACTCCTAGTCACACAGAAAATAGCAATGCAGAAGATCATAGAACATCAAAAAAACTCCTGATAAACAGAATAAAAGGCTTTATATTTTGTTTACACTTTTAGAAATTTATGCATATATGGATGTACATTCAGAATGTATTCGCAAGTGTAAACTAAGTCAAATATTAACCAACGGATATTGGCATTTTTAGTGAAGACACCACTGTTCATCAAATAGTGATATGATGTGCTATGAACATTACCAAGTAACCCCTAAAGGCTGCTTGTGCTTTTGTTGCAGCTTGCTCTAGCCTTTTTAACTCGGCATCATCAGCTGAAAGCGCTCCATTTGTAACTTGCGACTCTATATCTTGTATCACAGAGGATAAAGCAGCACTATCACATGTGATGCCAATGCTTGTCCCCTTCTCCACTGCAGTCTCAGAACCCCTATCAACATTCTGGATTGGTGGATTAGGGGCAAGATCCCCCACAAATGCCTTTGTCACAAACCTTTTCTCACCGCTGATGTCCTACATATGGAACACAGATTGAGATGGTAAATATTTCGAAAAATATTCTTAAGCAAAATTATAGATACGAAGAAAAGGAAACTTTGGACTAAAGAGTATTTCAAATAAATGTGTACAGGCTTAAATTGCTAGAGTTAAAGCAGTGGAATAATTTAAAACTGAGGCTTGGTACGTAGGTTATTTACTACTCCCCCGTCCCAATTTATATAGCGGTGTTTGACTAGGCACGGAGTTTAAGAAAGAAATGAAGACTTTTGAAAGTTGTGGTAAAAAAACAAGCCATCACCCACAATCAATCCACAAGGCTTCACGCAACTAGAGCAACCTTTGAAGGCACTCGGCCTTGTTCACCCTTTCAACTATGTATCCTGCTTTTTCCTCGAGGGGAGCCGAGATTTTGAATATGTGTGCCTTCATCGCCTTTGGAGAGCCCCTTCTTTCCAATCTATAAATATAGTACTGGCTCGCTATTCATATTATTTCTGCTTGATTGGTACCAAGAACTCCATTTTCACTGATTTCTGGGTCTGGGCGCTTAGCAGCTCCTAGAAATTGGTGTGGCTATAAATCATCTTGTTAAGGGTAAATCAGAAAACTTAAAGTAAATTTGCTTCTACATAAGGAAGTATGATATTCTTTTTGTGACAGAATAACCAGGAAAGTATGACACATAAATTGGAACGGAAGAGTATTAATTTTTTAAGATAAGTAGCTTAATATATTAGAGATTACATTTGCATCCCACTTCTTTACTCTCACAACCAAATCATATGAATTTCATTGCACTCTAGTAATGTTTTATTTTGCACCTGATTTTAATAATCTTGTTCTTCAAATTTCATCAAGCCATTGTCCCTAAATGATATAAAAAGAAATCATGAAAATATCAACGATTTCATAAGTAAAAGGGGGAAAGGGAAGGGGGGGGGGGGGGGGGGGTGTTTACAGCCAGTAGCTAAGATGATTACTTAATAATCCATGAAAGTCTCTAATTTCCCAAAGGTCAAATCTAACACAAGTAGCAAATTGTTTCATAAAAGAGATAAAAAAAAACGTATAACTTTAAAAGCACAGCCAGAAAGTAATTTTCATGCATCCAGGATTCATTTTTATAAGGGAAAACAACAAGAGCAGGGAAGAGAGAGAATATATTGTCTTCGACAACCAGCCCGGTAGCAATATCTGAGACTAGAAAACACTGACTATTGCAGCCAGAGACAGCCAAGAACACTAATGTACAATAAAAGCCTCTCACACCTTTGACAAACTAGACTTGGATGACTTTTTCCCAAAAAGCACAGCCTTGATCCATTTTCCCGGAGACTTCCCCATTACTAAAAGCCTGACGCTGGGAACAATGGGACTTCAACTCAATCCTGCATTAATCAAAAAGATTTAAAAAAAGAAGAAGAAGAATGCTTTTAGAGCTTAGTTAAATATATGGTAGTGCGCACATATTGAATTTTGAGTTTAAGTTATACACGTAGTATTAACGGCAATATTCATTTCCGAAGACACCATATAAAGATGACTATCCATAGGAAGCAAACACTTTTTTAAGAGATTCAGCAGCTCAGGGATTAACAAGCTTGCAGCTGTAAAAAGGTGATCTTTTTTTCACACAGTCATGAAGCTGCAAAAATCAATTTCTTTATGACTTCCGTGTTGCAATGCAAGTGAACCTCTACAAAGAATGTCTTACAGTTTCGCTGCTAGTCCACTCATTGATCTTGCACGTATTAATCGAGATCATCAACTTACTTGGACTCTAGAGGAGAAATTTATCAGCTACTCTAATGACCTACATGTATTTTCTCATTGCAATAGCTCGTGATATTTTAGCACCGCCAGTCCAAACAAGCCAAACTTATCACTAGAAAAAAGGTGGAAATGAGCAGAGGAGTGAAAGCACAAAATGAAATTATAAGGATTCTAAGTTAATCCCATCCAAATAAGAGGGAAAAGTGCAAGAAAAAGATAGCACCCTTGGCCTAGTGTTCTCAAGTTCAAATCACAATGGAGACGAAAAACATTACCAGGTGGAATTGTGCGTACAAGCTGGCCCGGAAACCACAGTCGTCAAAAAAGGTACAGAAAATGTAATAAGGGCACCAATTCAATTTCCTCAACCAACAGATTGAACGGAAAATAGCAGAAAAAGATTTTTTTTAAAATATTAGGAATTCACTAAGACAAGCGAAGAAACGCACTGAAATTAAGCAAGATCTACAATAAAACCAAAAGAAAAAAGGGAATTCAAGAATAATTATAGACAATGTAGAAGTTTTTGAGAAGAATGTGGTGCGGATCTGAGAAGTAGCTGAAAATTTGAGGTCCTTATGTTAAAAGTCGAAGCATAGCTCAGCTGCAAAGAGAAATAGAAAGAGAGCACACTGATATTGGTAGAGTTAGTTACAAGCAGAAGGAAGAGTTTAAAAAAGATTGATTGAGATGAAAGTTGACAAAAAAAAAAATGCAATACACTGAAATGAGTTATTTTCGTGCACTGAAGCAAAATGGACCCCTCCCACCCCTTCGCTTCTTCTCTGCTACTTCTCTGTCTCTTCTCACTACTCACTACTCACTTCACACCAGTAGGGGTACTGTGTATTTTTTATTTATTTGTTTTGTTTTCCCAGTATATAATACAGCTTGTGACTGTGTGGTTATACAGTCGCTTTTTGTAAAGTTGGTGAGTTCTATAATAAGTACGTATCATCCCCCAAAAAACAAAGTAGGAGTACGCATTATCTTGGCGTCAAATTTGAAAATCCCAGAGAATTACGATGTCGTTTTACGTCTGGGATACGGCAAAACTAGTACGAAGTGTACTTAATATAAAGTGTTATTCAGATATTTGTAATATCTGAGTCAAACTTGTCATTCAGATATTGTGATGTTAAATCAAGAATTAGATTTACTAACTACGTAACATAATTGGACAAGTTTTAACTTTAAAAAAAAAAAAAAAAAAAATTTAGGAATTTTACTACTTTGTTCCATTTTATGCGTCTTGTCTCTCTACAAACAAGTTGACCCCTACACGATACTAGAGTCACGTATAGGCTCCCCGCAACAAAACGAGTCCGGAACCAAAATGTGGTTTTTTTGGATTCAAAAAACTAAATTATGTGGAAAAAAAATATAATGACCAAAATATATATATAACGTCATTTTAAAGGGCGTTATACCTTAACGGTTGTTTGCCTGTTAAGGTATAGCGCCCTTTTAAAAGGCGTTATATATATAACGTTTTTCCTTACCGCGCTATACATATTATGTAGGTCTACCAATAATTCTTCTAGGCTTAACTGATATAACAATAATTTAACTGGTATAGCGCTCTTATTTAAAGCGCTATACCTGAAAAATTTCCGGATTAGTTTTTGCCTTATTTAAAGAGGTTAAGGATTTTCTAAAAATCCATTCACAAATATTGTCGTCTGAAATATTTCTTCGTTAAGTTGTTTTGCATTTTGTCATAATGTCTGAAGAGCGAAGAATAAGAGTTTCATT